TTCTTCTAATGAATATTTTAGAACAGGAAATAGTTCTGTTAAATTACTGAGTGCCAATGGAATTATGACAAATACACTTTATTTGTGATTATCAAATCCGCTGGTCTAGTCACTATCCGGTAGACATTTTCTCAAATTTCCTCCATCATTTATTGATTGATTGATTGATTAATTGATTGGTTTGATTTATATGCCGCCCTTCTCCGGAGACTCAGGGCGGCTTACAATGCGTTAAGCAATAGCCTAACTTTTTTTCTTTAAGTTACTTACTGCTTCATAGTCAGATTAAAGAGTAGTGTGTCCTCTGAGTCATGTCAACAATGATGTTCAAAAGTGTATTAAGGGATGAATAAAATTAAGTAAGTTGTGGAACTTGATATTACTTGGGGCAGCTATTAAAGTCCTGCTGGAGCACAGAAAATCTATCTGAGCAGCAAGATAGGTAATATGGCAACATAGCCTTTGTTTTGACCAATAAGAAATAAGCCATCCTTCTGGACTTTTCTGGAGCCACCTCAGGGTTGGGTCCAATTAATCTTTTGATGGAGGGAATAAACTGAGTTTTAAAAAAAGTCAGTAATAAATCAGTTCTGTTCTCATCCTAGAAAACGACATGGATATGCGACAATGAAGTCAGCAGGAATCAAGTTTAACTTGAGACCTTATCTCTTTAATCTGCAGTGAAGGATTGCCATCAACAGCTGTAGAACCAGCAGTAGGGAAAGGGAACATTGTCTTCTCCAGTAATACTTTATCTGCCTCCACCATTCTACTTCTACCCATTGGCTTTGTAGAATCTGCCCTCTAAGGATTTATTCTCATTCATATCTCTAGAGAAGGACAAAGTAAACAAGAACAAAATAACAAAGCAAGAGTAACTCCGAATCAAAACAAATAAAATCCTAACCATGGGCCATAATCTGGTCTAATATTCCCAGTACTTTAATACATGGAACAAATAATTTCTTCACTGATTTTTGTATTACTAAAAATATTAGGAAAAAGTTAACTTTTTTTTTAAAGGGAATGAAACACATACCGTTTAAGTACTAATGAGACTTAATTTTTTAAAATGGGGTTGTGATTAGGTATCTTTTTTCGAACCAATGACTTATGGACTGGAATCATACAACACAACTCTCAGTAAAAATATACAAGTCACATTCACAGTACATGTCAAATATAGTTTGAATCTTGCTTCTTTTTGATCATTTAATGTATTATATCAGTGGTTCCCCAGGGACGAGTTTTTCCGTGGGCTCTGTGTGTGTGTGTGTGGTTTCATGCATTGCCTGGATCCCACATGGGATGCAGGGATAGGGCTTTGTTGCTTGCATGGCCCGATTCCTGGAGTGCCGTGGACTGGTGTCAATCTACAGCCCAAGGGTTGGGGATCTCTGTATTAATTCAATAACCATGTTTAACATGTTTAAATACAGCACTATTCTATTCAAACATCAGGTTTGACATTGGGGGACCAGGGTGGGCATGGCCAGGGTGGGTGTGACCCAGTGGTGGGTTGCCCCTGGTTCGGACTGGTTTGTAAAACCGGTAGTAAAACTGGCGGGAGGCTCCACCCACTGACCTGGACGTCATCATAGGCCATCTGCGCATGCACAGAAGAGTGCGCGTGGGGGTACGATGTGAACCAGTAGTAAAGGTAAGTAGAACCCACCCCTGGTGTGACCAGCTCAATGTCACTCATGTTGGGAGCACCTGTGGTGGGCTGAGCACTCTGCAAGCAAAAACGGACTCCTGAGCTCCATTTTTGGCTGTGACGGCCTCCTGCAACCCTCTACCACCAAAACTGCAGCTCCATTTTTGCTGGCAGAGGGTTGCAGGAGGCTGTCGCAGCCGAAAATGGAGCTCGCCCTTCTGTGGCCCTCCCGAGCTCCATTTTCGCTGGCAGGGGCACCATGGGCCGGTCCTTCACTATTTCCAGAGCAGCTTTGCGGGCCAAAACTAAGCACCCTACGAGCCGGATCTGGCCACGCGCCTTGAGTTTGACACCTCTGTCATAAGGTTTTCACCACTGTCATAATATTAGCACCTCTTTTCCTATACTTTTGTTTGTGTAACTCACAGCCTTTTAAACAGTATAACTGACTGAGTAACTGAAGTAAATACACTTCCATATTATATTTTCCATTTCTCAAGAACATGAGAAGTAAATACATGGTCAGTTGAAGTTTGAGAATTAAAAAGGATGGGTGGGTGGGAGGTAAATTCCTGATACAGGTAAACCTGGTGATTGTAAGAATTTCCATTGCTAAGCAAGGGGGTTGTTAAGAGAGTCTTATCTGATTTTAAGACCTTTTTTTTTTTTACCATGGTTAGTATCTTATGATCATTAAGTGAATCGGACATCATCCATTGAGTTTGCTTGTCAGAAGCCAGCTGGGAAGATTGCAGATGCTGATTAGGTGACTCTGGGACACTGCAACTGTCGTAAATACATGCCAATTTCCAAGTGCCTGAATTTTGATCATGTGACCATGGGGAAACTGCAAGTGCCATAAGTGCAAAGGCCAGTTGCAAGTCACTTTTTTCAGTGCTGTTTTTTTCCCCCCAACTGTTGCAAAATGAATGGTTGTAAATAGAGGACTATCTGTAATTGGAAAATACATTAGTCATAAATTCTATCAAGCTTTATTGCTGCAAACAGAAATACTGCTTTTTTTCCAGCTTGGGTTACGCTGTAGTGGGTCTGAAATTGCCAAACAGACAACAGTGTAAGAAGTATGATATTGATTCTGAAGCATGGAAAAAGCCAATTTTAATAGTTTAACTCACTATAAGAGCGCAGAAAGCCATTTTGGTATGAGATAGAGATACGTATGCGATAGAAAATGTGTTTTGCTTCAGACCGTAAAAAGTTAAATGAATAAATTGTGCCTTAGAAGTTTGATTGAACTGTTTTGAGTAGGTTGTGATTTGCCTGAACAAAAACTCAGAACATTATGTTTGTTCCAGATTCAGTTGAGAGAAATTAAGGAGAGATTTAATAGCGCAAGTTGATCAAATCTAGTGGTACCCTATTGGTTTCCAAGTCCTTCCTGCTGATATTCTAAACCTATCCTAGCCTATCCTACCTCTCCTATAATCTTTAATGGCAAAATATAAGGTCCAGGTATCTGAGTAGCCTTCTCACCCCAGTGGAAGGGGCCTGCTGTTCACTCCACTCATTCCAGTGGAAGGGGCCTGCTGCGGACCAAGTCTGCTAAGAAATTCCAGTGGTTGAGGTCAAGCACTGTTATTAACATCTGCTGCTTGCAATTACTGCAAGTTCAAATCTCCCCAGGCTCAAGGTTGACTCAGCCTTCCATCCTTTCTAAGGTAGGTAAAATGAGGACCCAGATTGTGGGGGCAATATGCTGACTTTGTATAAATATACAAAAGTATGAAGGCTATTGCTTAATGCATTGTAAGCCACCCTGAGTCTCCAGAGAAGGGCGGCATATAAATCAAATTTTTTAAAAAAAGTGAAAGAGCTTTTTCTTCTGTAGCCAAAGCCCTTTGGAACATTGTACCACTGGAGGTGAGAAATGCTTCCACTCTTTTGGCCTTCTTGAAGATGATCAAAACCTGTTTTTTGTGGTTGACTTGGGTCTCTGAGTGGGGTGCTCAATACTGCAGGTGGTGGATGGGTTAAGAAGATCGTACCCTGTGCCATCTATCTTCCTGGTACTAGTTTTTTTATAGTTTTTAAAGATTTTAATTGTTACACACACACACACAGAATCATCTTATCAGTAAGATGGGTACACACACACACACATGGACACACACACACTTGCTTTAATGTAGAGGTATTTTCTTATGTGCAACCAAGACTTTTCAAAATCCCTATCTCAGCTCCTCCCAGTGCTTCAGAAGAACAGCCTTTATACTTTCCAGTCAGTTACTTTCCTTACATCACCATTCCTGGGTTTTCTATAAACGCTTCATCTGGGTTTCTTCTCATTTCTTCCTCCTTTCTAGACTCATCACTGGCACCTTCCTATTGCTTTCCAGATTCATTTACTGTGTTAACATCCTTTCTCATGTTCCTGGCCAGTTAGAAAAACATTAAAAATGAATGGATTTCTCCCAATTCCTACTCTCACCCCAAAATCTATAAACGAAATAAAAGAAAGCTTACGTAAATTCTAGACTGTAAATACCAGTTTGTGGAGCTTTCGTGAGAGTGGTGCAATTCTGGTGTGATGTCATTTTGCAAGATTATGCTGAATGTATTATTTGCAATCAGCCAATTATGCTTTAATATTAGGTGATGGCTTTTCTGGCTCCAGGTTGATGAGCTGGAGAAAGTTTAACACAACCTAATGTCATTCTGAAGGTCTCTGATTGATGTCTTTCTGATTACCTACCAGTACTTACAGAGAATGTAAATCTCCTACAACTTCACTGAGCATCTGGTCGGGGAAGACTGCAATATACAATTGATCATTCAATATGTTATTAGTTTATAGGGAAAACAATTTGCATTAATACTGTTACAGTAGCAGAGTGCTTATAATTAAAATCTTTATTATGCTTTAACTCATTTTAGATTGTTTTAAACTTACAAAGGAACAGTTTACAATCATTAACTGTTGAGGAACACAGAGATGGAATAAAGATGAAATAACATTGTTGCCCAGTGAAAAGTCTGAGATTGGCAACTATACAAATTGAATAAATAAATAAGCTGCACAATATAATGATATTATGATTTAAGGAACCATTAGTCTGAAATCACTAATTGAAGTTTGTGAGCAATTTCAGTAGTTTAAAAGGGATTAAGCATTTACTTGAAGTTTACTCTGAGACTGTGCATGCGTTTCTGGTATTTGAGCCTCACTGGTTCTCTGAATGTTAAGAAAGAACATACTGGATATTCTTTTTATTAGTGTTTGATTGATACTCAAGCAGAAGAGACAAATCATAAATGTATTATATAATTCAATGCTTAATTTATTAATGATTGGTTTGTTCATTTTTTAATGTGTGTATTGCAGGAAAAAGTAGAATATGCCTTCTTGATTATTTTTACAATTGAAACCTTTTTGAAGATTGTAGCATATGGATTATTATTACATCCCAACGCATATGTTAGAAATGGATGGAATTTACTGGATTTTGTAATAGTTATAGTAGGGTAAGTACAATTTTTAATTTTTCTAAGAAATTAACATCTAAAATGTTTCTACTTTATGTATTTGCTATAACATTCAAACAAGGAATCTGTAATTATCCTTCTCTTCAGCTTTATGAGATTGCAGTGTTGTCAAATACTTAATTGCTTTGCAATGATTTCCCAAATAGGAAATCTAATCCTTGAATATATTCCCCCCTTGCTCTTTAAGAAGACACCACTGAATTTTACATAACAACATCCTTTAGTAAGGTTTATATAAACACATACTTAGAATTGTTCTGTATAAAGTTTTTCTTTTGCAGAAATAATATCTGCATAGCAAGCCGTATATGTGTATTCTGAGGTGTGAAATGTAGCACAAGACAGATTCCTTCACTCCAAAGAGATCACATAGTACATGAGAGGGACGTGGGGTTCTTATGTACACTTTACCCTAATTATTAAAACTAAGAATTTAAAGATATAAGGGAAGACTCAGGAAAAGTACTCCTGTTTCCCTGAAAATAAGACACCCCCTGATAATAAGCCCAATCGGGCTTTTGAGCGCATGCGCTAAAATAAGCCTCCCCCCAAAAAGAAGCCCTCCCCAAAAATATTTAAACGCAGATCTGGATATCAGGTAAGACGGCAAGAGGAGCCCCATCTTGCTCCATGCGCCCCAAAATAATAAGACCTTCCCCAAAATAAGGCCAAGTGCTTATTTTGGGGTTCAAAAAAAATATAAACCAGGGTCTTATTTTTCAGGAAACATGGGTATAATTAGAGTTCTGTTTGATAGAAATAATTCCAGTAACCTTGTCTTGGAATACTGTATCAGAATAATTAGTAAGTTTTTTTTCTTTCAGACAATTAATGTCGATTATTTAAATGAAAGTGGCAAAAAAGAGGAGCTATTAAGAAACAAATCTCTCACCAATGAATAGTTTGCAAACATTTAAAATATTATGCTGCATTCTGAGTGATATTGCTTGAATTATTGTTATGTGTAGAAACTCTAGTCCAGTGTTTCCCAAACTTGGGAACTTTAAGAAGTGTGGACTTCAACTCCCAGAATTCCCCATCCAGCATGGCTGGCTTTGGGATTTTGGGAGTTGAAGTCCATACATCTTGAAGTTCCCAAGTTTGGGAAACACTGCTCTAGTCCAAAAGATAAGCATCACTTATCCGAGGTGGTGCAGTGGTTAGAGTGCAGTACTGCAGCTACTTCAGCTGACTGCTAGTTCAGCAGATCAGCGGATCAAATCTCACTGGCTCAAGGTTGACTCAGCCTTCCATCCTTCCGAGATGGGTAAAATGAGGACCCAGATTGTTAGGGGGCAATATGCTATTTAGTATACTGTCTTTGGTGTAAGCCGCCCAGAGTCCTCGGAGAGTGGGCGGCATAGAAATATGACTTATAAATAATAAATAAATAAATCACTTGAACTATCTTCTGACAAAATAAATCTATTCCAATGTAATGACTGAACAGTATCTCTAGCAGTCTGTCTTGGCCACTGGTTATCACAAGAGGTGAGCAATAGTTAAATATAAAAGTGTGCATAAAGCTGACTGCAACATCTGGATATGAACACATTTCTGTCTGAATATGAAGAAATATGTATTGGATAGTGGTAGTGAGTCTGAATTTGAATTTGACGTTTTAGGTCTGACTCCTGAAAGATACCTTCTCCCTGAGTTCCAAGGAGGAAGCATTTGAATTACTCCAAGCTATTTTTTAAACTGTGAAGGCTGTTCTTCTAATGTTGTAATGGTGATCTTTTAGGTTTTACATAATACACGTATAGTATGTATGTCATTAAAGGTTCTTCTGAATTACACCAAATTTAAACCTCCTTTATGAAAAAGAGCTTATTGTCCTATGTTATAGTAACAACAATATGGAATCTTTTATTTCTTGTTCCCCAGATTGTTTAGTGTAATTTTGGAACAATTAACCAAAGAAACAGAAGGGGGTAGCCATTCCGGTGGCAAACCAGGTGGTTTTGATGTAAAAGCTCTAAGGGCCTTTCGTGTCCTGAGACCCCTCCGGCTTGTATCAGGAGTGCCCAGTAAGTCACCACTTCATTAATTATTTGGGAATTCAAACGAAAACATCTCTAGGTTACTTTGATAAACTTTTCTGCAGGCTGAGGTATATCGTCTCCTTCCTCTTTCTCTGTAGAGTACAGTACAGTAAAATGTGATGACATGGTATAAGTTTATTTAGATACAGTCCAAACTGAGATTTCAAGTTGAATACGGATCTATTTCAACTCCACAAAGCAAGCAAAAAGAGTTTAAATTATTATGTTTCATGGTTTAGGCCATAATTTACACATTAGGTAGTAAAATAACTGTTATATTACGTATGTATTGGTCTGCCCCTAAAAAAGGCATTATTATTAGTGCTGCTGTGGTGGTGGATACCTTTCTGTAGCACTCAAGGCAATCTAAAATAAAATTGAATACTTTGAAGTAGAAAACAGCTGGAATATTACAGATTTGAAGGTGAAGGTTCATTTTCCGAGCTTGTGGATTGGTTTCCGAACGTTTTGTTACCAGGCTCGATAACATCATCAGTGGAGTTTAGGGGATGTCAGTGTTACTGTTCTTCTGTTTATAAGTATTTCAGGTGTGGGTGTGTCAAGTGAGGGTCTTGTGATGAGTCAGGTCACAAGACCCACCACAAGACCCTCACTTGACACACCCATACCTGACCCATCACAAGACCCTGACCTGATGGGACCCTATCCTCCTGATGTGACCTCACCATTACAAGACTTACCACACAAAGCCCTTATAAACAGAAGAACACTGACACTGATATCCCCTAAACTCCACTGAAGAAGTTACCTAGCCTGGTAACGAAATGTTTGGGAACCAACCCACAAGCTCGGGGATCACCCTCATCCTACACCTGAGCTACAGATATTCACCACTATTACAGATTTGGTTGATTCATGTATGGTTTGCCTCAGAAGAGTCTAGCAGAACTCACCCAGTGACCTAGTGTCAGAATATTATATTATATGACATCATTCACTGACATCGCTGTATGTGAAATTAGAATATAGATCAGGGGTGTCAAACTAGCGTTGTGTGATGATGCGGGGCATGGCACAAAGGCAACACAGCCAGAGAATGGGTATGAATCTCTTTATTGGCACCAACTTTGCCCCCAATGTCCCATTTACACTCCAGCCTGGAGAAAAGCTCTCGCACAAACCTGCAGCAGCTTCTGGCTGCAGATACTCCAATCCAAACACTGTAAGCAGAATGACTGCAATCAATCACTCCAGCAGGGCAAGATAATGAGTCCCAGAAGTGAAGCATCACGGTAATAATTCCAGCAAGACAAGATAAGCACACATAAGCACAACACTAATTCAAATAGTCGGGAGGAATGCCAGGAATGCAGGCCACAACTCTCAACACTAGATGAATTCAGCATTTGTTCCTGACAAATGCTCTTCCCAACTGCCTCTCCTTTAATCTCCATCCCCAGGTGTTCCTTGTAAAGGGAATCGGGGCCCTCTCCTTCCTCATAAGCCACGCAACCCACGTTGCTCTCTTTTGCATTCTTCCCTGTGTGCCATAGGATGAGGAGGGGGTGGGCCTTGGTCTTCATCTGAACTCCCTCTCCCTTGTTCTATCTCTCCCCTGCTCTGCCCAGCCTGACTTTGCCCTTCCCCAGTTTCCTCCACAGCCAACAGAGCCTCTCTCCCGCTCTCTCTCAGCTGTTCATCTTCTGTCTTAGATTCAGACTCCGACGGGGGCATGACATGTCATGTCGTCGTTGTGATGTATCAGCACTTTTTTCCCCTTCGCTAAACTGGGCATGGGCGTGCCCAGCGTGTGATGCATCCGGCCCGTGGCCTGGGAGTTTGACACCCGTGATATAGATAAATTCAAGTAAATTTTAAAGAGAACCGAATGCACAGCTGCCAGCTTTAGTGGCTCTCACATATGTAACTTACTTCCATTAGGCCCTTAAAGTATTTCTAGAAGGTAATGCCTTCTAGAAGATAATACTATTTGTATCAAGAAATTAAGTCAATAAGGTAATGTCGGCAGTGTGTGAGTTAGATTGCTTTGTTCTCCACTTTCATATAATGTGACTAACATACAACGTTATTCTTCTGAGCAACAGTTTTTAAACATTCTGTGTTATAGAAATAATTCATTTGCTCTGTGTAACAAGTCTGACCATGGCACATAATCCTATCTGTGTCAATATGTATAAGCCATGATTTACTTAAACATAGTTTACTGGGTATGGCAATTATGGCTGTGTTAGCATAGAGATAAAGTAATGCAATATATCTTGCAGTCGGCAGTGACTAGGTTCACCTAATGTTTCAGGTGAAAGTCCAAAAATGGCCTGCAGTATGATTGTGAACGTGACCAATATATGCAGATGAGCGAAGTAATTGTTATGCTTCAGCGGAGTTACACTTGAGGCTGTGCCCAACATGTTGGCTATACAAAATCACTTATCTCCTTTCATGGCCTTTTTTTAGAATTTCCAAAAAGTTTCTAAGGTACTAATAGTTTGTTTTTAAAAAAATCAATTTGCACCCTATTAAACTGTGGCCCTAACTAATGAGAGTGGGTCTATTGTGTGCAGGAAGGCTACTGGAATATCTAGTTCAACAAAATAACAGGTGGATTTACTGTACATGTAATCCTTTATATAACATTTCACAAACATTCGTTGGCTTTCTTTTCTTTTCTTTTCTTTTCTTTTTTCTTTTCTTTTCTTTTCTTTTCTTCTTTTCTTTTCTTTCTCTCTCTGAGAATATTTCTGGTTGAATGAAGCATCTGTTCTTTTAATCTCTTTGCTTTTAATATTTCATCCATACGCAAGGTCATAATGCTATGTTTATCACACTATAATCTGTTGCCATGGAAATGATGGCAATTGATGTGGTTCAGGAAAATCACTTCAATGGAGGATCAAGCAATTGTCAGAGATAGTCCATAAATGGAGAAAAAGACTTTTAGTAAGATGTAAAATTCTCATTGGCAGCAGATTGATATCTCTAATTTTGTACGTATACAAATCTCGGTTCAAATAAGAGTTAGCTCTTTTTCCTTCCCTTAACAAAATGAGAGCTTGTATTATGCTCAAATGCATCTTAAAGTATTGTGTATCTGCACGGTGATTTTATTTTATCTGTGCTGTCTCCCACCCCCGGTACAATCATGCAAGAGAGTCAGAAACATAGTCCAATATTTCTGCAGTGCCCCAGGTTGTAAAGGCTGTGCTAAAAATAGGAGGGGGTGGCAGCAGTTTTAGTCCTGATGCCTACTTGTGTTTTTGCATTTGTTCTTTGTAACTACAAAAAACCAAAACAGTATAACCAGTGCTCTTTATCTTACAGGTTTACAAGTTGTCCTGAATTCAATTATAAAAGCCATGGTCCCCTTGCTCCATATTGCCCTTTTGGTATTATTTGTAATCATAATCTATGCTATTATAGGATTGGAACTTTTTATTGGAAAAATGCACAAATCGTGTTATTTTGAAGATTCAGGTGAGTAAAGCAATTATTCCTTTTAACTGGAATTGAACAGTGGTATCAGAAACCATTGGTTGAAAGCTGTAATAGTTCTCACCAAATAAATACAGATTACATATTGCTTTTTTCTGAAAAATCAGATTTAATGGGGTCAGAATTATATCCTCCCTGTCTCACTCTGCATGGGAGACATCTATGGCTTTCTGCATCACTCAATGTGACATTTGCAGTAAAAATTATCAGTTCAAGTTCTCTACATAAGAACAAAATAGTGAGAAAATGTTAAAACCATTGGTAACTGGTTTTCAGATCTGCAGCCAGCTAGGGTACAATAAATACTACCATAGGACTGAGGCTGGGTCCTGCTACCTAAAAGTGAAAATTAGCACTAGATGATTAATAATGATGGGGAGTCTGGTGATATTATGAAGGGTTTTCCATTAATGTAACCTGAAAAAGGATATTCTCTCGGAGGCTGATTCTGTATCTTTAGGTTTTCAAAAAGAATATAACTGCTTAAAATTCATTCTTAATGGTTAATTAGTTCTGACAATTTCACAAATAAACAGTTCAAAGTTCAAAATAGAAATCTGCTGACTTAGATTTAGGTATTATTAATATATAGCAATGTAGTGTTAAATAAGAAAATACCATAGGAAATATGATTCTGGGACCAGGCACAGTTTTACTATTCTTAAATGGATGAAAACATATTTTTCCTTATTTTTTGAAGAAAATATGTAATTGTTAATCCCTGTATGATTTCTTTTCTATTGGCATGTAATATAAAATATATTTTATATGTATAAAAAATAAATCTAAAAAGGGATGACCTCATTAGAAAGATGGGATATAATATTTCATATTAATTAATATATAACACTTTTTTTTGTAAAGTACCATTCTACCTGATTTTTATTAGAAAGTCAAGACTGGTAAGTACACATTAGTATATAGGAATGTGTACATACATTCTTAATAGGATAATAGGAATGTATACACACACACACACACACACACACACACACACACACACACACTGTATCTTCAAGGCCATTTTTCATCAAGGTTAAACTCTCATATCATTGTAGCAGGGGTGGGTTCTACTTACCTTTACTACCAGTTCGCAACGGGGCCGCGTGCAGAAGCATTTTCATGATGTCAGGGTCGGTGGGCGGAGCCTCCCGCCTGTTTTACTACTGATTCTATAGAACTGGTGCGAACCAGGGGCAACCCACCACTGCATTGTAGCATCAGATGTGAAAACTCTGGAATTGCAGTATGTATCTCTTTGTATAGTTTAATTCACAAAGAAATCTCCCCAGATAGATGACAGCATATACATGAGTAAGCTTGTTTGAAGAATAATTTAGGTAAACCAATATTCAAGGTCTCATGAGATGAAACTTTTAATGTTCATTCAGACACATGATCCTTGTGACTGCTGTGATTTTTTTCTGAGCCAGAGGCTAAAGACTGCTCAACCTGAAATATTTTTATTCACTTTTAGAAATATTAGTTGAAGAGGAACCTGCACCTTGTGCATTCTCAGGGAGTGGACGTCAGTGTCCCCAAAATGGCACTGAATGTAAGGGCGGTTGGCCTGGACCAAATGGAGGCATAACAAACTTTGATAATTTTGGTTATGCAATGTTAACGGTATTCCAGTGTATAACCATGGAAGGATGGACAGATGTGCTATACTGGGTAAGTGGTGTTTTTTGTGTATTTGAAAACATTTCATCTAAAATAAGAGTTCTGGGATTATTTTGTAATTCTGAGCCACTCGGGTAAATAGCTGCAGTTCACTTTTCTTGGATTACTTGGGTTAAAACAGTATGGACAATTTTAAAAATCTTGTGTTTCTAGGTTTTCCAACAGTATGTTTTCCAACAGTATGATGTCAAGATGTCCAGTTTTGTGAAAGTCTTTGTATCTGATTATTTTTAAGCACTTTGAGATTTTTGTATTAAAAATATTTACAATTCCATGTCAACATGCTTTCAAAAATAACCTTTTTTTTTAGTTTTATTCTATTTGGCAAGTATTGAGCATATAAAATATAATTAAAAGCAGTGACTAAATTATCTCCTTCTTCAATTTCCTTATCCTATGATAATGAAACATATTACACTTCCTGTCATTCTTAATGAGAGTTGTAGCTCTGCAACATCTGGATGGCTACAAATACTTTTTATTAATTAATTATTATTATTATTATTATTATTATTATTATTTTATTATGTATTGAAGTAGTAAAAATATCAATAGCACTATTCTATGCCTTTTTACGCAGAAGTATTCCCATTTTCCTATACAGTAAATGTGTTTAAGGATTGCAGTCTAGATCTAAATATTAAAAGTGATTCCAGTCCTTTACAATAGGGATGGACAGCTGACCTGATACTTCTCTAAAATGCTACCAAATTGCAACGTTTGTTGTGATTAAATTGGAAAATAAGTGGGAAGTAATATTAATGTCATTTCATAAATAGAACTAGAACTAGATGCAAGCTGTAGCCATTTTTATCAGATAGCAGGCAAAGATTTTGGGTCCAGATTAGTGGTGGGTTTCAAATTTTTTTACTACCGGTTCTGTGGGCGTGGCTTGGTGGGCGTGGCATGGCTTGGTGGGCATGGCAGGGGAAGAATACTGTAAAATCTCCATTCCCACCCCATTGCAGGGGAAGGATACTGTAAAATCTCCATTCCCTCCCCAATTCAGGGGAAGGTTACTGCAAAATCCTCCCGATCAGCTGGGACTCGGGAGGCAGAGAATAGATAGGGGCGGGGCCAGGGGTGAAATGGTAGCTGATCCGGTAGCTATGGCAGCGGGTGGTTCGGAGAACCAGTAGCAAAAATCCCTGCAGCCCCCCCACACCATGCCCAGCTGAGCCGCAGGATCATCAGAGGCTTTTTTTTTTTTACTTTTAAAAGCATTTTTTCTACAACTTCTTCCGCCAAAAAAATGCTTTTAAAAGTAAAAAAAAAAAAAACTCTGATGATTGCGTGGCTCAGCTGGGATCTCAGAGACTTTTCAAAGCATTTTTTTCTGCAACCACTTCCGGGGAAGAGGTGGTTAAAAAAATGCTTTGAAAAGGCTCTGATGATCAGGCAACACAGCTGGGATCGTCAGAGCCTTTTCAAAGCATTTTTTAAATCACCTCTTCCCTGGAAGAGATTGCAGAAAAAAATGCTTTAAAAGTCTCTCTGATGATCCCAGCTGAGTTGCCTGATCGTCAGAGAGACTTTTCAAAGCATTTTTTAAAACGATCAGGCAACTCAGCTGAGATCATCAGAGAGACTTTTAAAGCATTTTTTTCTGCAACCTCTTCAGTGGAAGAGGTGGTTTAAAAAATGCTTTGAAAAGGCTCTGATGATCCCAGCTGTATTCCTGATTGGCAGAGGCTTTTCAAAGCATTTTTTTGCATTTGCAGAAAAAAATGCTTTGAAAAGTTAAAATTAAAAAAAAAAGTTGGCCACGCTCACCCAGTCACATTACCCCCCCAAGCCACGCCCACAGAACCGGTAGTAACAAATTTTACATTTCACCCCTGGGCGGAGCTAGTCAGAATTTTTACTACCAGTTCTACAAACTACTCAAAATTTCCACTACCGGTTCTCCAGAACTGGTCAGAACCTGTTGAAACCCACCTCTGGTCCAGATATTACAGACAGATACATATTCTACCTAATCTGAAAACTGGTTCAGGTGATTGAAATTATTCTGGACCCTGGAATTTCTTTTTGAATATCAAAATTCAATAGCGCTTGCACAAAATTGGTTAGTTCAATTTTGTTTCTTTTAGCACTTAAATTTGAGCAGGAAAGTATTTTTTGTTGTCCTTATTTTTTTTAAAAAAGGGGGGGGGAGGTTGTAAAAAATTCCCTACTGACCTTCCTGCGGTTCCAGATCTACTTTTTTATATATAAAACTGTCTTATATCATGTTTGGCCTTGTTGTATGATTTTGAAAATTATTTTGAAAATTATCTGAACATAATGTCATGCCTCAGAAGGCTTATAAATACTTGGGGTATATACCACACTCCTCCCTCAGGCAACTTTTTAAATGTTTGCAATGTCAAACATTGTAATGATTTTAACCACTGTGATGGACAAAGAGTTATTTCCTCAACTAAAGGCTGCTTCCTACTGAAGGTGGCAGAAGAACTCCATTAATATTAAGTGTGTCTACAACCAACAGGGATTTAATTACCATAATATCTCCCATGTGGGACTAATTCCTAAAGTAGCTTCTGCCACCCATGGAAACAGAAAATAACTATTCTGTGTTTACATATTCAGCAACAAAAACAATAGACAAAGATGCTATTCTTGTCTGTCGCTGCCATTTAATTATAAGCTTTTTAAATATTTCACATTACTATATGGGTGATACACTCTATTTGTGTATACTGCACAATTACAATGCCCCCCTGAAGTCACCACAATACAGTCCTATTTGCCATATCAGCAAAAGGGCCCTTGTATGAGAAGAAATAAATGGATGGCCATCTCTTCATAATACTCTTGCCAATTAACCAGAAACATTGAGATGTTTCCACTACCAAGCTACAGTAATCGTTAGGAGGTTCTGTTCTAACATTCAATCCAAATTGAGCAGCCTTCCTGCAATTTAAATCCATTATTCTGTGTCCTGCACTTGATCAGTAGAAGTCAGGCCTTTAATCTGGCTGCCATCGTTTCAAGCATTTGAAATATACTGTCTTATCCTTCTTCTTTTTTCAAGGCTAAACATTTCAGGTTCCTTCACTTTCCTTATATAGGGCTTAATTCCTACTCCCTGACCATTCTTTCTATCATTCTCTGAGTTCTTTATGAGTTAGTCAGAATCCTTCTTAAAGTGTGATGCAAAGCACAAGATGGCATCTGACCAATGCGAAGTTCTCTTACGGAAACCATTGCAACCCAAGCAAAGGAATAATTGAGAATGCATTTCAAAGAGGATTGAGAACTCCTTTGCAAATTATTCCTTTGCTACCTAAGACAAAATGTTTCTAGATGGTTTCCTATCTAAAATTCTATCCAAGAAAAATGTTCAGCTATCTCTTTACAAACTACAGAATCAAAAATAAAACTGTAGTGGTAAGGAAAAGAGGGGAAAATGAGTGAAGTTTGTATTATCAAGGTTCAGATTTGTGGAGAACATTACCAGATGAAACTATTAGAATGCTAAAGCTGGAAGAAGCCATTTAGGCCACTGAGTCCAACCATCTGTTTACGACAGAAATATAAATTTCATGTCCAGTAGATGGCTGTCTGGTTTCCACTTGATCACATCCAGAGAAGGAGAATCCATTAATAAGTGCTTCTCTTAGAAAAGAACTTTGAAGCATGCTGGTTAAATGTCAAGAGTTTTAAATGAACCATGTACCATGAGGATCTCACATGGAGAGTAATTATCTGAATCTGCTTTACATGGAATACCTATCCCAACAGAACAAAATTTAATCGCCACAGTTCTTTGTGGTTTTGGTTTTATGATGTACAGTGTAAGAAAAGCATAAAAGTACTCACTTGTAAGAATTTTCTACATATCTCCAGAAGATGGTTTGAAAGACATTTTTTTCACTATAAAAGAACTACCGTAGTGAGATGTAGTGCTTAAGCAGTTGAATGTGAATCAGAGAGAGCAGATTCTTGTCCACCATCAGCCATAGACACTCAGAAACTTTTGACCAATCACTGTCTCTCAGCAAGGATGTGGTTGCATAGAAAAAGATGGAGGAAAGAATGTTATGTGTGTCACCTTGCACTCCTGGAAGAAAGGCAGGGTATAAATCTGACAACTAAATAAATGAATATTTTTGAACCATCTTGATTTGAACCATCTTGATTTGTATGGATTTAACACTGTAAACTTTGATTATTTTAAAGACTTCAGGAGTTTTGTAGCTAATCTGGTTTTGATTGTAGAACGTATCACAAATGACTAAGTTTGTTTACACCATGATTATAGCTACCATATCTAGGCTGCAAAAAAAAAAAAAAAATCCAGTCAATTACTGGATGGCAACAAAAATAATATAGAAAACTATAGCCATTTGCTGCCACTTCGTGGTCATCCAGATTGCTCTGGGCTATCTTAGACTCATGTTTTATGGTGTGATCATTTTGTATCAGAGTGTAGAATTTCCCTTTTTAAAATTTATACTCACTGCTTTTAATCAATAGTTTTTAGCGATAATTGAAGGACACATTATAGCTGAGTCTATGTGAAAAGATGAGTCTTTGTTTATTCTAGCTGCTACAGTTGTTTGCATTATGCAGAAAGCCCTGGATATGGTTTAATGAGTGTTTTTTTTTTTTTAAAAAAAAAATCTGTTCAGTCATGTCTGATTCTTAGAGACTGGTTTCAGAGTTCAATAGGTAACTAGGTAATTTGATCTGAGTGTTGTTTGTAACAACCTGTCATTGTGACTTTATGTAATATTTATAAACAAATCTGTCTCTTAATTATTTAAAACTTTCTATAAATTATTTATAATTACATATTTAACCCTATGTATGTCACAGAATAAAAATAACACTTATATGCAACCGATGACATGGATTGTCATAACTGATTAGGAGTATAAAAATCAATGTGAATTCTTTGGAAGGTATCTAGATTCAAATCTAGCTCTTTGTTAATGTTTTCCCAATTTGTAATGGTTAGTGTTTTGGTTCTGTAGAAGAGCATC